TGGCCATAAAAAAAAAAAAAAAAAAAAAAAAAAAAAGATTCTAATATAGTTAGCCAATTGTTTTTTAACGATATCTTGCTATTTACTGAGCTAATTTGGATGATCTAACCATTAATAGATGCGTCTTGATGAGCTCTATAACTTTTATTTAATAGGCATGTATTGTTAACTTAGTAAGAAAAAAGGTTTAGATAGAAGCAGGCCACATTTCATTGATAGTAATTTTCATATATAATTTCCATCACAAAATTTTATATAGTTAGCCAATTATATTTCAATGATATCTCACCATATACTAGGCCAATTTGGATAATCTAATCACTGTTAGATGCGTTTTAATGAGCTCTACAACTTTCAATTAGTAAGCACATATCATTAACTTAGTAAAGAAAAATGTTTTATATGGCAAATATCTCATTCACCTATTCTTCAGTTAATAGATGAATTATTAATTAAATAATTAAATTATAGAGTAGTGATGCCTAACAAAATTATGAAACCCAACAAAACCATAAGTTTCATCAATGACAAAACTTGATAAAACTTATGATTTTGTCAGGTTTCGTTATTTCATCAGGTATTACTATTATAGAGATCTACTAAAATTCATATATTAGGCTATTTAAAGTTGATTCTTTGATTAACATCACTTTTTAGGACTCTCAGGAGGGAGAAGGAGATAAAATAAACAAACATATAAAAATGAACAAATATGGGCCAATTTCATTGGTTGATATAAATCAAGTGATCAGCAAGAGTCATCCAGCATTTTGATTGGTTGTTTATTTTTTACAGGAGACTTCAACTGAGGGTTGGGTGATGTTATCCAAAGAATCAACTGCAAGCAGCCTTAATATTAATTATAGCATTATAGTTTTAAAATAAGGGTTTAAAAATTTCATGCCCCTGCACAACAGTGCACCCCTTAAAATCATATGATTGGTTAATTTTTATTATAAATTTTTATATTAAATTTATGAGTGAGTCTATTTGTCACCGGCGGTGACAGTCACCGGAGTGTGAACAACCAATTAGATCACAGGATCATGTGTAACATGAAAAATGTAAAAACTTTGATTTTTTTAAAAAATTGCTGTTATCTTGAAATTCCGTCTATGAATCCATATTTTGCGTTAGAACAAAAAAAATTCCTTGCAAAATTTTACTATATACTATGCCCTACCCAAACTTTAACTATGGCTCTAACCCAATCCTAATGATAGTAAATTTCGACGCCTTGTTTTTGTTTTGATTATAACATTACACGATCTGATTGGTTGATCATGCTCTAGTGACTGTCACCGCTGGTGAAAAACACATTTTTTCTAAATTTATATATTATATATTAAAAAAATAATGAATCGAAATAATTACTACTATATATCATCTCAAAAATTACTAAAAATTACTATATACAAGAGCTAGATTTTTACATTCTATCAATTTTAAACTATATAATAGACTCTAAGTCTAGAACACAACCAAAAATTTACCTGTGCATTTCGTATTTATAATAGTCTAGATATTTGAAAAACCTACATCTAATTAATATAGATTCTGTAATTCAAATACAGGTATAATACATAACTAAGAAGAAAATAAAAATGAAGTAATCTACTTACTAACTACTATTAAATATATAATTATATGTTGAAGAATTGCACAAAATATACAGTACCAAGTTAAAAACTATAGGCTTAAATAAGACAAAGAACCTATTTCTAAAAAGAAGTATTAATAAACTCTAATAATAAAAGACAAACTGATAGATAATATAGGATCTTTGCATTGAAAATAATCTTATAAGACATAGCAATTATTATGTCCCATAAGGTCATTTTCAAGGCAAAGACCCATATAGTATTAAAACTGATTGGAAAAAATGAACAAGTAGTGATGCAAAGTACTGACGGAAAAGCCAAACCAGAACTTAACATAGAGTACTCTCAAGCACCTAAACTAATGAGTTAAAGCTCACTTTGGCTGGTCAAATAAGTCAATGGTTGAGACTATCTTTTTTATCATAAAGGTTATGCTGATTTACTAAAATTTAATATCCGCATTTTTGCATTATAAATCTTTAGCCAAATTGCTATAACTTTAAGTAGGCTTCCTCTTAGGAGGCTTTAGAGAAGGGATAAGAGATAGAATCTCTCCAATAACCAATCCTATTAAGCATTGTTAGTTCTGAGAGATAGAGTCTAGATTGGGTACTGCTTAGGTTATTAGGAAACTCTGGAGCTATTTACACAAGATAAGGAGGATTACTCCAATGGAAGGTTACTCAATTAATTGCAGTATTTGTGCATGATCTCAATCACTAGCCAATTACATTAAGATATCTAAGAACACTCTAAGAAGTATAAAAGACCAGTAGAGATGGGTTTGCAAAATAAGGACATTGTGAATAAAAACTATAATCTGCGAAGAACTGAGAAAATGGCCAAAAAGATACAAAGGAGTAGTTTTTATAATAGAAAGTGAAGAAAAGTTAGATAATGAAAAGGAATTTTTTGTTAAGAAAAACAGTTTAAGACTACCAAAGAGCTATCGAAAAACAAGCCGAAGGATGCCTATATAAGAGATACAGAATGAATTAGTAATTAACGTGAAATGTAAAGAAAATACTTTGGAAAATAGAAACTGCTGTGAATATACTTATCTCAATTCTAATATCAATAAAACCAAACCTAAAATTATACAGATGAAGAAGTTGTAAGTGGAAATAGAATGATAATAGAGTTCAGAATTCACTTAGATTAGAACAGAATAATTATATTAAAAATCCCAACCCTAACCTTAAAATTTTGAATCAACTTAAATTCTATTCCTACCTACGACAAAGATACTAAAAGAAGAAACCTTAATATAAAAGAAACCAAAAAAGATGTTAGTATTACAGAAAAAAAAATTAGGAATAAAGAAAGCAGAAAAGATAAAAAAGATTTAAAGAATACTTGTGTCAAGAACGAATTATCATTGCAAAAAATAGCACCTTAGGATGGTAAAAAATACAGTTTTAACCATTTTTTCACCAATTTAAAACAGGTGATGATTAAAGTCTGAATAGTTAAATCTGGATTTAATATCATAATTATCACCTGTTTTTAATTACATAATAAAAAACTTTTGCCATTCTTAATAGTATGGAAAGCTAATAAAGCAAACCAATCAAAGATGTCTAGAGTGTTTAAAGTAAAGGATAATAGGTAAGTTCAGCAAAGTGAACAAAGAACAGAATCAAGAACCGATCAAGATCTGAAAACCTGAGAACGTTCTTATCCTATTAATAATTGGCGGGTTAATTTTGGCAATAAAGAAAGTTATAAAAGTGTACTCTCCAAAAAGTGGTATGCTGATGGAGCTGCTAAGTAAAGCCTTGATATTGAAAGAGTAAAAAACAAGACTCTGAGAGAAACCCTAAAAGAGAAATGCGTGTGTTAGAGAGAAAACCAAATATTTAAATTACTCCAGTAATAATACTTTACGATTGTGTCTTGGATCATACCACGAAGCTCTGGTCTCCAATCTTGTACGTTGCAATATAGTCAACATAGCAAACATAGTGAACATAGTCATTATATACTTACTAATAAGTGTAAAAACTATAAATACGATACTTTTGCATCTAGAGTTCAGTACTCTAACGCTAAATCACCTGATAAATAAATTGTGTATAAATTCTAATCCTGTGATTCCAAATTAGACTTGTGATATAACCTTAAGCTCTAATCTAACATCCTAATTACTCAGACCAAGTCTTCCATGCTTCAATAATAGTCTTGTCATTATTAGGGTTGAATTAAAGCAATTTAGTTAGTTTTAATAGTGTATATTTGTGATATTTAGACCTAGTGCATTTTTTGCACTTTTACAACATATATACATATGTATATAACTAGAATTTTATGCCTAATAGGTATAAAATAAGGAAATGTGAACTCAAAAATGTGATAACTATCCTACCTAAAAAATTTCACTGACTAACCAAATTTCAAGATCAGGTGTGATGCAGAAGAAATGCAAAATCACTCTATGAAACCACCTTCTGTGCACTAATAAAAAGTTTTTTTGTGAAGTTTTGGTATTATTAAAGTTCTTTATAGCTTAACTTAATAGCAAAACCTAATCCTAATCTAACAGCGAAATTTTTTTAGCAAAATTTTTTAGGTAGGTAATGCTAAATCAGTTATAACAGCCCAAAAAGTGCTTACCAGAGATTTACAATCCAAAAGACTGAATAATTCAAAAAAAATAAGGACTATTGGGTTTATTGTGAAAAATGTATAATAAACAGTTAAATGGATAACTTACCCTATAAGCTTGTTTAGCCTATCTTAAATAAATCAATTAATAAATACTTAATGCAATAAAATGAAATTCAATAAGATCTATGCTGTGCTATAAGCATAAAAAAACCTATTATAATAAGAATTAATGAATATAAATGATATGTGCTTGAATAACCTATCAATTAATAAAAGATCTTTATACTCACCAACCAAATTAATAAGTATGATAAAATTGAAAGGAGGTAAGATAAATTCTACGATCTTGAATTATTCTCTTAAATATATTGATTAAGAACTCAGCTAAATTAACATGAAACGGGTTAAGTACAATATATCAGTAACTTGTTGACTAAATTAATACATATCAAAAAAATCGAATAAAATTCAAAATAGTTATCTTAAATGCCTATCTTAAATATAACAATTAATGAAAAATTCAGGTTAATCCACAGGTTAACATACTTGTGTTTAATCATTTGTACTAAATAATTACAATTTTGTAAAAAGAACTAGATAATACTGATAAAACTCTAATAAAAATCAAACTATGAACTCTAAATGAATAGATAGATCATTTTAACTTTTATTTAAAAAAATTTACAAAATGATTTGTTAACACCACTCTCTACAACTATTTTTTTGAATATCTAGGTTTATGATGTCTGTACTCGCCACAATTCCCATATTGATTTTGACACTTAGCCAGTTTTAATTCTTTTGATTGCTTGATTCACTTAGAACTTTTTGGGCATCCCTTTGCTCTACATTTTTTTGGGTTTTGAAGAAATATACTAACATTATTATCTTCATATTCTTCATTATCATATAAACTATTGCTGCATATCTCCCCGTCACCATCATCAGCCAAGTCAATTACTAACTCATCCTCTTGTATTTCATTTAATAAATCCTGTAGCTTTTTAATAACATCTTGTCTATAAAGTTAAACTGCCTTTTGTGTAATATTTTATGTGATTTCTCACAACTCTCTATATAGTTTTCGTTCATTAATATTTTCCTTTCTTTTATTCTGGAGATAGGTCACAGGTGTAAACAATCTATTCATATTAGATTTAGCAAATTCTGCAAGTTGATCTTGAGAATAATTCTTACTAAATTGTGCGGCAATATAATAGAGTTCTTCTTGTAAATCACTATGAATATCCTTATACCACCTTTTATGAATATATGTAATATAGAATACCACTATATGACTACATAACATCATCTGAAAGAAGTGACGACAAACTAATCCACAGCTTACAAGCCCCAAACAAGAATATACATAGATTTATTAGAAAGAAGAATGATAAAATGACAGAATGTGGAGGATGTAATTATGCAAATAGCCCAGATTTCTACTACTTCATTAATATCTATATTTTTAATATATAGTTAATAGAAATTTGTATAATATTTTTATAATCTTCGACAAACAAGGTATCATCAGACTCAGGCTTAAATATCATATGTGGATTTGTAAGTAGAGTGTCATTTACAATACTATCTTTAAGAATAATATAATACAAGCTTGAGTCAAAATTCTAAAAACATAATCCTGAACCTTAATTATTGCGTAGTGTGATATCGGTTCAAACTTATGATTAGTCATTATGATAACTAATCCTAAGTGGAGTTTAAACTGACATCATATGATATAATAATTAAGGTTTAGGATTTTGACTTTTGGAATTTTAATCCAAGCCCATATAATACATACCTCTTGATATTTAATCATTTCGTCTTTTGTAATAGCAGTTGCATTATAATTTAGACAACTTTTGATTTCAACACACTGAATTTTTTGCTTCCAGGTGTAATAAAATGACTCAAAGCCTTATCAAGTTCATAAAACAATGCTTGTGGTAGTGTAGTTGCAGATAATGTCAACGGAATTTGGGTTTTCCAATAAGCATATTTTGCTTTTTTACTTTCTTCTTCTATACTTGCTTCTAGAGCTTCAGCGAGTTCGATAAGACTAACATTAGAATTTAAAATTAGCCTTTTTACTTGAGCATTATAACTCTCAATATAAGATGTTGTTTGTATGCTAGTGGTAAAGTCCTTCACAGTGTATGCACATGCTCATACTTTTTTTTGAAAAATATAACATTCGCAGATACTTTACTACCCTAGGTTCATTATATATTCAACCAACTGTGTCCACTTTTGTTCAAAAACTTCTGGAACAAGTGAATTTCTAGCTTTATAAAAGTCTAATAAATTCATGATACTGTTGACTCAACTTAGGCTTGAGGTTTCAAGGAAGATTTTGTAAGATATAGAAAATGCAATACATTGTATATAATTGTTCAGACTTCTCAGAGATTGTGAGGCTCAAAGCCAGATTGGTGTTGGTCATAATAACAGCAGGTACACAACCACCTGTAGCTCGTTTGGTCTGACGTAAAACCTATCTGTGTGAATCTGCTAATTTATCATTTATAAGTGCACATCCAACTAATCGGGAAGACCTATGATTGTCAACATATAAGAAAAGTGAGAGAGCCATGTCATAACGGCTTGTTTTTGTGATATTATTATTTAATATAATCTTACTAAACTCCATCCAAAGGATAATCTGATCAGGAGACATCCAAAATAGTCTTTGAAGACTATGCGATTCTCTGTCCCAATCAATTGCAATGTATCAACGAGTATCTTCAATTTTTCTTCTTATTAATTCTTCATACAAGATGCAGAATCATTTGACATATCCTTTCGTTTCTCACTATAATATTTTGCCGTTGCATTATGGATCTCAGAAAGATAAACTTCATGATCAGGAAATTCTTTTCGTAAAGCTTTCTGAATCTGTAGCGGCTTTAAATTAACATCATTTACATAAAATTCTATCTGCTTATACATTTTCTAAGTAAGTTCACTATTATTAAAAAATTTTGTTCAATAAGGAGACAGGTTATGATTATGATCATCCTCTAATGTAGTTAGATAGACATTTTCATTAGGATTGTTCTTAATGGGTTGCGACAAATTTGCATGCCACTGACACCCGATACACTTTGTGCTTGTTTCTTTAATTGATTGCACATTTTTAGATTTATATTCGCCACTATGTTCACGCAACATTGTTCATTTTCATATAGCTCCATCAGGAGTTTTTTTAACACAGCCCTTTCTTAATTTAAATCCTTCTCGTTGAGAATAGATTTTTAGTGTATCAAGTGCTTCTTTCCAACTTTGAAAATCAATTCTTTACACAATTTTTACTCAGAACAGTCCCATCTAACATCTTCATTTTCAGCTATAGAATTAGATATTGGCCTATCAAGCTCAAAATTACATACCGGCCCACCTAACTCAAGATCATATGTTGACCCTCTAATTTAGGATTGTGCATTGGCCCATCAGGCTCAGGACTCTGTGTCAACCCATCAGGCTCAGAACTATATATCGGCCCATCAAGCTCAGGACTATGTGTTGGCCCATCATACACAAGATTATTGAAGTCATTAGAGTTAGATATATTCTCATTAAGCACTATCTACTTTGAAACAGAAATTATAAAGAATAGCTGTAAGTATAAAAAATAAGGACAAGTACAGAATAATTTACAAATAAATTATAGCTGTAATTACATAAGTTGGTTTGGTCATGATCTTGGCAAGTGTAATTTGCCTTTTGCGACCTATGTCATTTTTCCTAGAGTTTGCTTGGTGTTTGTTGTTGCTTGGTGTTTGTTGTTGCTAGGAGTTTGTTGTTACTAACGTTATCACCTTTTGTCAGCTTAACCTTCGTTATTAGGTTACTATTGAGGTTATGCTTTCAGATTGTACTATTGTTCCTTGTTTCTTTTGCTAAAAGGATTGTATCTTTATTTTGGGTTGCTGCGGTTATACTACTACAGTATTTACAAATAGTGTATATTTTAAAAGCATTATTTTTTCCCATTTCAGTGCTAAGTCAAATTTACTCCAAAAAACCAAGAGCGGTATTTCTAATTCTGCTATTATACCTTTATTCGTTGACCTTTGTTAAGCAAAATATAAATACATATGAAAAAGTAACAATAAAAATAGTGTAAAAAATACTTACCAAGAATTTCTGCTATCATTATTGTTGTGGAGTTGTTTTTACTAAATAAAAAAGTCAAATATGCATAGTACAAAAGATAATGACCCCAAAGAAAAAAACATTGTAGTATATGCGAAAAAAACAGTTGATAAGCTCACTCACAAAAAATTCCTTCCTCTCATTTAATTAGATCAAAAGATCAGGTGAAATGTAGGATCAAAATAATCTTCAGGATAGGTCACGGGAGGGAAAATTTTTTGTAGAGACGAAATAGCCAAGGCGGCCCCAAAGTGCCAGTAATATAAATCATTTCACCAATCAAATAATACTATATATTTAACAATAAGCGATAATTTAGTATAGTATTACTTGATTGTTAAAGTAATTATATCGCTGGCACTTTGGGAGGGCTGCCCTGGCTGTTTTTGTAGAGACTTTGACAAAAATATTACACAACTTGTCTTTACACATATATATATATGCATGTACATATGTATATATATATGTGTGTGTATTATAAAAGGACTTTACATGTTGATCTATTTCACGATGATTTGTAGTAATTGGGGGGATGCATAACTGTGCAGGTGTACAAAAAACATTTTGCCTTAAAATAATATTATTTTTATATTATTTGCAAGTTACAAAAAACAAGTTTACTTTAATAGAAATGAAGTTATGACATTTTAAAAGTACATAGTTTTTACTATTAGACAAAATTTTAAAAATCTTGTATAGAGGATATTTGAATCTGATAATTTCTGAGATTAAGGTTAAACAAGTATTTATACAGGAAGTAGTTTAAACCAAAAATTTTAAGAAACTAAGTTGCATCATGTTGCATTACACTGCATTATACTGGAAAAGGTTGTTCTGATAATAGTAGAAATACTGTTTACTCTATAGTAAGTGATAATAAAAGTATATTATACTGCTTAATTTGCAAAGTTCGACATTGTTTTTTCTGTTTTTTTCTTTTATTATTATTTAAATTATTAACTTGTTAACTTTTATTTCTGAACTTATTTGAAGTTATAATATTTTTTAAAAAAATTCTTAACACAATAGAATTATTTATTCATTACATGAGATTTTAAGAAAAACTATTGGAGGACATGTAACTTGTTACTAAAAACCTTATAAAATAAACTTTTATACCTGTAAAATTGCTACTAGAGTGTGAATAAATAGTTAGATTCTTTTATAATATGAGTTATTTTACTTTGTAGTCAAAATAAAAGAAATTATAATATATGAATAATGCCTGTTGATTGGCTACTTAGTTCAATGACTATTTATCTGTTTTGATTATGTATTGATAAAGCTGATTTCTAATCTTGACAAATCTTGTATTTATCTGAAAATTAAGAAAGTCTCCTATGCTACATTATAGGGAGACATTTATCTGATGGTTGATATAATAAACAGTAGACATACTTTTGTCTTCTAAGTAAAGTTCTTGGGGTTACTGATTATTTTTGATTATTTTTGTATAGTGATATAAATATTCTTTTGAAGTGAAAAATGATGTTTGCAGTAATTTTTTATTAGTGAAATGTTACATTTCCAAAAAGTACTTTAAAGTGTATAAATAAGTTACTTGAGCAATTGATTTATACCATATTGTAGAGTGAAGGTACGTTTTTGTTTAAAACTACTTTATTATATTAAATTTAAATAAACTTTTACTTCTAACTATTTAATTTGAATAGGTATAAGCTCTTAATAGTAAAAAAGCCAGGCTTAATATTTCAATTTAGTCTGCTTTTGTAGTGCATTTGGGTTTGTCAACCAAATATTAGTAGTTAAAAGTTTTGGTTTGTCTTGTATATAGATCTTGTATGTAGATTCTTAATGAGTTGGGGCTTATTAGTAATAAACATCACATTTACCTACCTTACATGTATATATCTATTCTCTAAATATAAGTAATCTATTTTTTTTGTGTTTTGTAAGCTTTTTTATGCGAAGTTTTTTTCATTTTCTAGTACTAGTATTAATAAAATTATGTAATTTGGTTCATTAATTATTACGAAAAATTACAGATAGATCTTCCAAAAATTATATAAATGTCTTCCTATAATATGCTATATATTATGTCTATCATATAAAGTTACCCCAAAAATACCACCAAAAAATTTTTGGTAACAAATTCTTAAAAGTTTGTTAATATTAAAGTTAGCATATATATTTGAGTTTGATGTTAACAAAATATATAGTAAAATTATTCAAAGAAAACTTTTTATTAGAGCACTAAAGATGGTTTTTTATATAGATTTTTGGGTGAGTTTTAGCAAAAAAACATTTATTTTTAATTTTTCTGATCATATGATGTTAGTGTTATATTACATCTGATCTTCAACTGTGATTGGCTTTTGGTCACATTCTGAAAAATTTTTGGTGGTGTTCTTGGGTTAGTTATCATATAATGCTATACTATGATATATAGTGGTATATTAAATGTGACGGCTGATGCTGAATTTGGCTAATGTTGAATATCATGTAAAAATTCAGGTTAGAAATTGCAGATTGCATGTTAATCATAAAAAAATCAAAACAAATTCTAACCAATGGCAAAGTCCTTCAAGTTCGTTTGTATTAGGATTATCATCTATATTAACATTAGAGTTTAGAATGTTATTCAGTAAAATTGCTCAAGAAAAACTTTTTGCTAATATACAAAGTGTTTCATAATCAATATGTGATCTATAATTTTTGACTATATCTAGTAATTAACTCTCAAAATTTTTTTCAGTACATGATTACTATTATAATTTTATGCTACATTATACATTTTTCATTTTACTATTTAATGCAATCAGTTAAATGGTTTTTTATTTTTTTCTGTGCTTTTATAATATTCTTTCAGTGGTTTTTATGATGTTCTTTTAGTGATCTTTATGATGTTCTTTCAGTGGTCTTTATGATGTTCTTTTAGTGCTCTTTATATTGTTCTTTTAGTGCTTCTTATGTCATTTTTTTGATATATTTTTTTTTTTTGTGTATTCTTTTTATGCATTTTTTTAATGATTTTTATGTGCCTTTTATGTTGTTTTTTCATGTTCTTTAAGCATCTTTTTGTCATTTCTTCGGTGTTTTTTTTTAATATTCTTTCAGTGGTTTTTTACCGTTCTTTCAGTATCTTTTTCATCATTTCTTCAGTGCCTTTTTATTATTCTTTCTGTGCCTTCTTT